GATAGCTATCAACTATCTCGCACGAATATGAACGCATTATGCAAAACAGGTGAACGGAGGTGGAACATCTAACGAGGTCATATACCTTCCCCGCTGCCGGCGCACGCTGTTTATGCCAAAAATGAGTAAGGGGGGAGAGAAGAGAAAGGAGAGAGACAAGGAGAGGATGGGGAGCAGATGGATGAGGAATGGAGGGAAAGGGAGAGAGATAGGTAAGAAACGGACAAAAACGAGATAGTGAGAAACAGGGAGACAGTGGCGCTGGGTGGAATCGATCGAGTATCGCCAAGAGAAACAGACAAGGAGAGAGAAAGAGATGCAGAGAGGGAGGAAGAGAGGAGGCGGGGGAGGGAGAGAGAGGAGAAGGTAATTATTCTGTGGCACGGTTGGCAAGCGCTGATCGGCTGTCGTGCACAGAGTGCAAGCACCGCGGTGCACGTGCACACATGCAACAAATTGCATTTTGTTCCATTTCAGCTCTCCATGAATAATTCATCGTGACGACATTTGGCAAACAACGAGCGCAATCATTTTCATACATTTTAAACATGTTCAATCAATTTATTGTTTAGGGGGGGACACATCCAGCCAGGTTTCCCTCGCCCCCAGTAAAATGTGAATTCGAGCGAGGTAGCATCGTCATTGAAAACCGCAGCAGCAGCACTATAGCTCTAGATAGCCCGTGTACAGTTGCCGCAGGTCCTGCAGCAACTGCACGCGGGCTATACAGAGACTAGAGCTACAGCACCACCAGCAACAGCACCACTACCACCACCAGCAGCAGCAGCAGTAGTAGCAGCAGCAGCAGTAGTAGTAGTAGTAGTAGTAGCAGTAGCAGTAGCAGTAGCAGTAGCAGTAGCAGTAGCAGTAGCAGTAGCAGTAGCAGTAGCAGTAGCAGCAGTAACAGCAGTAGTAGCAGTTACTAAGCAGTAGCACCAGCAGCAGTAGCAGCAGCAATAGCAGTAGCAGCAGCAGTAGTAGTAGCAGCAGCAGTAGTAGTAGCAGTCGCAGCAGCAGCAGCAGCACCACCACCACCACCACCACCAGCAGCAGCAGCAGCACTAGTAGTAGCAGTTACTAAGCAGTAGCAGCAGCAGCAGTAGCAGCAGCAGCAGTAGTAGTAGCAGTACCACCACCACCACCAGCAGCAGCAGCAGCACTAGTAGTAGCAGTTACTAAGCAGTAGCAGCAGCAGCAGTAGCAGCAGCAGCAGTAGTAGTAGCAGTACCACCACCACCACCAGCAGCAGCAGCAGTAGTAGTAGCAGCATCCGTAGCAGCAGCAGCAACACCAGCAGCAGTAGTAGCAGCAGCAGCAACAGTAGTAGCGGCAGCAGCAGTAGTAGTAACAGCAGCAGCAGCAGTAGCGGACGCGTGCAAGACTTCGCGCGAGTAGCTCGTCGACTAACAGACAACTGGTATTTTGTCGCAAATAGGTTTTAATCAAATTCCGTTGAATTTTTGTCATCATATCGCTACCGCAATAGCAGCGCGCGCACACAAGAGCGGTGCCAATTGAACCGACCTCTATATACTCTGCATGCAGTTAATACGCACAATACACGCGCGGCGCAATGCGCTGCAATCGGTATACTTTCACAATAAAAATCAGCATCTGTCTACATAATACCGCCATCGACCGCGTACGTACAATTTTACAACAGAGGCAGCAATAAAGGCGACAACCATTACGGCATGCGTGGGAGATTCGCATTTCTACAGTTGTGTGCTGTCGTTGTTTAATTCCACAAACCCAGTTATCGGGCTGTAAAAATAATAATATTGACCGATGACTGTTGTTGGTTGGACTGGGTACCTCGGGAAACTCAAAGACTATAAAATATTATTGCTCTTTGTTGCTTGGCGTGCACGAATCTGCAGGCTGTGCAAACACGATCACGCGTTCGTGTAGACTATATTTATGTGAGACTGAGAGTATATATATATATATATATATATATATATATATATGCGTAACACATAAACAGTCGGCAGCAAGCACGCCCTTCAACGTGTTTTCACTACATGATTATGTCATAGGTCTTGATCTCAGTCTCAGTCGATCACGCCACGGCTTCTTTTGCCCATTATTGGCCACTTCTTTTGCCGCGCGATTTTTTCCGAGGTTTTGCGACTACGTTAACTTTTCAGACCGGTCGATAGCTTAATCAGCTATTACGCGTTAGCGTCTTACCCTCAAAAACACACGAGCAGTGCAACTGCGCAGATGTGGGATTAATTAACTCGTTTATCCGGCCAATTACGACGCGTTCCGCGACCATTTCAACTTCGAATAAAATACATCAAAGTCTAGAACACACAAAAACCTTCTCGAAATGCTTGCTTGCTGCCCGGTTCAACCCGTTTCCCCCGTCGCCTCGCTATTTGGGCGGAGTTTCCTGTTGCGGAACGAAGGACAGACAACTACGCGGGCAGAGAGAGAGCGAGAGGGGGAAGAGAGAGCCCGCGCGGGGGGGGAGAGAGAGCCAGAGAGAGAGCGCGCGAAAGAGAGAGAGAGAGAGGGTGAAATAGAAAGAGACACAAACAGACAGACAAACAAAGAGAGAAAGATAGATAGAGAGAGAGAAAGAAAGAAAGAGAGAGAGAGAGAGACATTAAACAGAGAGAGAAAGAAAGAAAGAGAGAGAGAGAGAGAGAGAGAGAGAGAGAGAGAGAGAGAGAAAGAGAGAGAGTGAGAGCTACTTGCTACTTGCTGCTGAACTTCATTTGTGCTGTGCGCTGCTACCATGCAGAGACGATTTAATACACGTCTTCAACGTCGGATCTAGTTATGAACGCAATTAATCTTAAACGCTGCCAGCGACGGCGCGCTGCAAATAAATTTCAGACGGCCGCGTATACCTGCTCGAAAACGACATTTTAATTTCTTCCTTGTGCGCCCGAACCTCGTAAGCACCCCCTCAGGGAGAGGGTGTTCAAACTCGAGGCGTCATCAGCACTGCTCGTATATATCTCTACGTTCGTTGGCATACAAGTAGGCTCTGCGGAAGGTTCGGGCACGTTCGCGCGGCTGAGTATGAGTCGGCGAGCATCGGAGCATGTATGTACTAGCTGCCAGGTAATGTACGTGTGTGTGTGTGTGTGTGTGTGTGTGTGTGTGTGTGTGTGTGTGTGTGTGTGTGTGTGTTCGTGTGTGCGTGTGCGCGCGCGTGTGTGTGTGCACTCTCGCAATAACTTTGAAGCACCCTGATTAAACAGCTGTGGGTCGCTCCGCCCACAGGCACTTGGAACGTCTCAATAAAAAAAGGTAAATAAACACGAAATGTATTTACTACCAAAGTCTTAATATTTCTCTACTCTATTTCGCCTATCATCACCTGTAAATGCCGGTCAAATGCTCATCTGCAACACACAAGTACACCGCACGCTAGCTGCTGCACACTGACACATAAATATATATTGGTAGTAAATGACTTTGGTAGTAAATACATTTCGTGTTTATTAACCTTTTTTTTATTGAGACGTTCCAAGTGCCTGTGGCTCCGCCGGGGCCTGAATTCACACCTAACCACGGCCTAAACCACACACGGCAGCCACGCTTGCACGTACGTGTGCGCCCGCACGCCCGCACGCATGCAGACACACACGCGCACCTGTGACACTCCCTTCCATCAGTACAAGTGTAGGCGAATATTTTCGTTACATGCACTACGTAACTTTTGTGTCTATAATTGGGCCTATTTACACGATGCGTCCTAGACGTACGTCCAAAACGCACCGTGTAGCCGCTTCCCCTAGCACGGTATTGCTGCACGAATAGGAATAAAATATTTTCACGCGTCAATTTAACGCATTCAGCTGCTAGCTAGCGAAACCATTGGCTGCAGATTCAAGCAGATTCACCCACACTCTCACACTGTACATATATAATATATATTACATTCATCATATAATAAACATTTCGCAATAAAGAAAAGATAGTAGGACTACTACACTATGATATATGTACAGTGCGAGTGTGAGATGCGCATCTACACCCCCCCCCCCCTACACACACACACACACGCATTGCCCCATGCATGCACGCGAATGATATACAACACTTAGTAGGTCAAAATCTTGGCAATACCGAATATATAAACTCTCTATGGAAAAGATGAGAATCACCAAGTCCGGGTATAACTTCAATCGCAAACTAACAACGCGACATCAATTTAGGAAATCGGCAAAAACAGCTTCATTCTCGCACTTGTATTCGCTATAGACTTGTCGCGTTGAAAATAACGCGACTTTTATTTCAGCCGAAAAAAAAACTAGCGTCATCGTGACAAAATCCGTTCAATCGATACGTTTACCAGGTAAATTCATTTTACGTCTCCGCGTCTACACCCGCGATGTAAACCGCCCTGGCACACATGCACGCACACTTTCCCGCACGAACGCACGCGCGAACATACACACGCGTTCATGGATATAAGCGCTGACCACAATTCATTTTCGCAAATGTGAGCACACACGCGCATGTACGGCATCCCGCACGAACGCACGCACGCACGCACGCGTGCGCACCCTCACCCGAACAAATTTGACAAAGATGCGTTTTGTGAACATTACGCAATGTACCGTATCCATGCATGGATGCACATGCACTACACTGCAGTGTTATTACTATATTAGTCCGCCTATGCAATTTTAAGGAGTGCTAGCTAGCTAGCTACAGCATCACGCGAGGACCGACTTGCATCGGAAAACGCGATGCAACACACTACTGTACTAAGGGAAATTTTGCCTAGGTGTAGTATACGCCGGCGTCCCGGCATTAAATTTCTCCGCGGGGTTTACTGCGTAAAACTGTGCCGAGTCTTCTTATCTCGTACACGCGATTCAAGGACAGATATGTGTGTACACAGATCATGTGGGTCATCGGCGAGTTAACTGCTACAGTCAGTCATTCGTACATCGAGCACAATACCGAGTAAGTAAGTACGCAGCGTTATGCCTTTAAGTACACCGAGTTACAGTACTAACGCGGGAACTTACCTAAAGGAGACCTCTGAAACCTGTTGGCCTTCGTGCCACCCAGCATTCTGTCTGGCCTGTTCATGTAGTCTGTACTCGCCTGCACCGACCGAACACACACTCACGCACGGCCCGGTGTTCTCTACACGCAGCGCTGACTAGGCGGTGGATGGAGGCGCACACACTGTACCACCGAGCACTCTCTGTACATGTACGTCCGTCGTCTGCCGGTTGCTCTGCGATAATGAATGGCAGGCACACGCTGTTCGCTTCGTCGAAACAACGTCGCCGCTCACGTCGTCGGCTGGGAAGCGGTCATCAGATCTCGCATGCCTCGCTGTACACGTCTGTCCGCTACGGCCGCCGGTGAACAAATGCGTGGCGCGGCGATCGGGAGGGAGGGAGAGTCGTGCGCACCACCAGCACACTGACCAGTCAGCCGTCAGACAGACGACAGCTCGCTCGTCGCTCGTCGCTCGTCGCCGTCCACTGTTCGTTATATGACGTGTGTGTGTGTGTGTGTCGACCACGAGCGATCACGTAGAATAGAAGCAGTACAACGCTGCGATTGCTGCTCGCTCGCTCGTTCTTCCCCTCTGTGCAGAAACGCTCTCTCGTTCGTGTGTGAGCAATGCGATAGATACAGTCAGTCACGACGAGGGAAGCTGGCTGATTGCATGTACGCTACTGCCGACCTCCGTGGTTTCTACACGGCTGTGCGCTATCACACGCAGCACCGCTACCGGTAGTGAGTGAGTCCGTGCGGGTTAAATGCAACACGAGATCGAGAAAAACAAACGCAGCACCGAAGTCACCGCGAGTACTGCACCGAAATCTACTCGAATTTGACACGAAATTAATGAACGATAAGTTTCATTGGCACACTCACATGTGGTTCGTGAACACGCACAGCTTATATCATATATATATATATATTTATTTAAGTACAACTATATACGACGATACTACGCACGACAGACATTTACAGTTCCAAAAACGCACACATAAGCGGAGCTCTTGCGATAGACGTGAACACGACGGCAGCTGGCAATCCACTGGCAGCCGCACGCGAGCTGCCGGCCACCTAGCAAGCGCAGTGTATCTTGGCGCGCTGCCAAGTCGGCGCACACGTATAAAGTCGGCGTGTGAGTTGTGCGCAGCCACACTGCGCCTTTGTGGCTGGCCTATAGCGGAGCCAGGCATGCGGGATGAATGAAAACCGATGTAAATTGCACGCGGCCGAGGGAAGAGAGAAGTCCGTAGTACAAAGCCTGTGGTAAAACTGCAGAATCGGGAGCTCCAGCGAGATAAAACCTGTTCAGATATCAGCTACATTAGTAGTAACAGCCGCAGCAGCAGCCGGGGCGGTGGTACGCAGTCAGTACGTAGTTAGTTAGTCCGTAGGCGAGCCGACGTTTTTAACCGTTATCGGCTTCTAGTTTATATGAATGCGATTGCTTTTTCAGAAAGCAGGAAACGTGCGCATGCATGGCTGGCTAGCGTTGATCGCTGCTACTTGTATCAGTCAGCATGCTACCGCCGCAACTACGTACGCGCTTCAATCAGTCATCTCACCCTACTAGCCCCCACCCACCCCCACCCCAATCAGTCATCTCACCCTACTAGCTCCCACCCACCCCCACCCCACCCACACGCGCTTCAATCAGTCATCTCACCCTACTAGCCCCCACCCACCCCACCCCACCCACACGCGCTTCAATCAGTCATCTCACCCTACTAGCCCCCACCCACCCCCACCCCACCCACACGCGCTTCAATTTAATCAGTCATCTCACCCTACTAGCCCCCACCCACCCCCACCCCACCCACACGCGCTTCAATCATTCAACTCACCTTACTAACCCCTTCCCCCCACCCCACCCCACCCCACCCCAAAAAGACACCCACCCCCACGCGCTTCGAACAACGATTCGACCGTGATGCGACCGTGATGCGACCGTGATTCGACCGTGATGCGACCGTGATGCGACCCAATAATAAACGCCGTTGCCCCGCTATCGCAGGAAACCTCGATTGGTCTCGCGCGCGGTCGGCGCGTCTCGGGTCTCGAGAAGAAAAGAAGGAAGCTGCGACGAAGATTAATCTTGAGTAATTCACGAGGCGTTGCGATGCGACGTGTCCCGCGTCCGTCAAGGCAAGACGGCGGCGGCGTTTTGTTTCGTCGCGAGGAAGGATCCACTCTCGTTCGGCGAGCACGGCGGCTTAGTCGCATCAACCACCCTCCTTCCCTCCCTCCCTCCCTCCCTCCCTCCGGCAAAGCGTAAGCCGCCGTTAAGGAATTGCATTTTGTTAATTACATGCGGCGATATTCACGACACGTCCGTAGCGGCAACTGATGAGAGCGCGAGGCGGCGGCGGGTGCATCGGGGGCGACGCGCAATACTGAATACACCCTATTTTTCGCGTACATATATATTTTCGCGAATTCAGACTCTACGGACAATTTCGCAAGTGGTTAATTTCGCGGTCGGTGAAATATGAATTATTCGGTATGAATTATTCGCGTGCTGTTATTTTCGCGGTCGGGGGACGCGTTCGCGAAATTCGCGAAATTTAAACCACTGCGAAATATACAGCGTATACAGTACTTCATCATGTGCCATCCGCAGATAAGGCCTGCGGAATTATCAACAACGCATTCGCACAGATCGAACGCTCGCATCCGCCGCAGCGATTCCGATATCTCACAAAACACGAAGACTGCTAGAGCGCACGAGGCATTGCCACGATGTCGTTTAACGGCCATCAATATCGTCATGCATGCGGGCGATGAGGCCTCGTGGGTGTGCAGGGAGGACGGGAAGCACATGACGTAAGCGATGCAATCAGCCTGCCCCTATGTAACAAGGCGTCGCCCTTCATCGTACAATGTAACAAGGAACGTAAATGTAACAAGGAATCGCAAGCGTCTATACTACACCTACATGCACATTATTGTTATTTGTTGTTGTTATTATTAAGTTATTGTATATATATATATGTATATGTATGTATATATATATATATATATA